GCAGTGACTTTCCAGACTGGAGGGGAGCTCAGGCTCGCTCCCAGATGTGCCTGAAGTGCTTGCAGGGGTGAGGGAACTGTGGAGGTTGGGAATGAAGCTCTCTTCAGGGGAGGAGGAAGATGAAGGGGCTAAGCCTACAGCCCTCCAGCCCGGCTTTATTCAGTTTTGTCTCCTCCAAGCTTCCTTCTCTACAGAGGAATGGCCAACCCATTCTTCAACTTGTCCCCTGAGCTCTCAGTGGGTTGCTGCTCTGTGGGGAGCTGCACTGGTAACCCAAAGGTCCTATCTCCCAGGCAGTAGGAATTCACCACCTACTTCTCAGGAACAAGATTGGAAATTTTGTCTCATGTGATTTACAGCCTATGAAAATCCACTGGAAGGTCAGCTATGAATGAGTTCCAACTCAAAATCAAGGATTGCTTTTCAGAGACAGGCAGCTTTGGTAATGAAGTCCACAGCGAGTTGCTCTGTGAAGGCAGTACTTTTCTGGAGGGTCAGATCTACCGTTGGTTCCTTGGAAGAAAGACTGGTAATGTCTGCCTGTTGGGAAATGTTGCTATATGTCATCAAGTAGACCCACACCACATAGTGACTCTGTGGACAACCTTGCTCTATCTTGCACCATTCTTACGATCTCTGACATACTCAAGCCCATTGTTAGAGTCACTGTATCGTGATTTATAAACTTAGAAACACAATGAAGGGTTTCTGTTGTTACCTCATGAAGAGTTTTTGTTGATACCCAAAAACCACAGCTCTGCCATCTTGGAGACAGGGTTGGAACATACGAAGGAGAAGATTTAATATATATTTGTATGTAGGAAGGACTTCTTGTGGCCTACTGGTTAGGAGTTGTTCTCAAAAGCGGGAGATTCTAATCCACCAACTGCTCCACAAGAGAAAGATGTGCAAGTCTCCTCCTGCTCGAATTAGACCATAGCTTCTTGTTCTAAACAGAGGTTTATCATGAGGACTATGAAGTGTTCTGAGTTTCTCCTTCTTAGCCTCTGAAAACTTGCTGGAGGGTCAGCTATGAGTCAATTCTAACTTGACAGCATACAACAAGTATATAGGAGCTTCCTAAATATACAGGAAGAGA